GCCCCCCCCGCCGGCCGTGGGGCCTGCCACTGGCTGCTTGAAGTAGGACAGGAGTTCCATAGGGCTGGCGGAGCCACTGCGGAGCCGCTGCTTGATGCTGCTTGGAGAACAGGGATACAGAGAAAGGGTGCAGACACACCCGTCAGAGCCCAGCCCAGATGGACATGCAGAGCAGTGTGGACACCCACCCGTGGGAAGGCCATGGGAGGGATGGCTGTGAAGAATTCCTGCTCCCAGAGACAGAAGACAGACAGTTCCATAGGGCTGGCGGAGCCACTGCGGAGCCGCTGCTTGATGCTGCTTGGAGAACAGGGATACAGAGAAAGGGTGCAGACACACCCGTCAGAGCCCAGCCCAGATGGACATGCAGAGCAGTGTGGACACCCACCCGTGGGAAGGCCATGGGAGGGATGGCTGTGAAGAATTCCTGCTCCCAGAGACAGAAGACAGACAGAGGGCCCAGCTCCTTCCACAGGTCCCCACCTCAATCCACAAACTCCCCACTGGCTGCTGGGTCTCTAAAAGGCCTATGGCTTTACCCCAAGCTGAGCAGTGCCGGGTGCCCACCTTTCCCGACGATCCTTATAGGCCTTGTCCACTAGCCTCTTGGCTTCTTCCATGCAGGTCAGCACCACTGAGGTCTCCACCTCCCTCAGGACAGCTGCCCAGAGTGGGGATCACGAGGTCAGGAATGAGCCCAAAGTTCCCATCAGGTCCCAGAGCCACAGAAGCCTGCCCTGAGGAAGGCTGTCCCTGGGACTCAGATCACCCACCACACCATCTTGTCCCTCCTGTCTGAGCTGTTACCTGGAGTGTTACCTTCAGAGAGCCGGGACATGGCCAAAACGGCCAGGAGCCCTGTGAGGGCCGGGAGCAGCTTCATCTCTGCAATGAGATCCCAGCCCAGTTAGCGTCCTGAGCCCACAGTGTACTCAGGGGAAGAGGGACCCTTCACACCTCCATTCACACCCCAGCCCCACCTCCATTGATCCTGGAGGAAGCCAGGTCTCTTTGAGGGAGGGGTTTACAGCATCCCCACCCCCTTGACAACTACAGTCATCCAGACCCCAAGGACTCCACCTCTGCAGCTCACCTGACATTGGCAACTCCTCTCAGCTGTATCTGGGCTTTTATGTCCTCTAACCCGGGGGGCGGGGCAGAGGGAGGTCTGTCTGTGGAGACTGAACTCCTCTCCTCTCTCCTGAGGTTGGGGGTGCACATAAAGGGGCCCCTGAAGTGGCGGGGGGCAGGAAAGGAGGGGCCTTTGAACTCACACCCACCCACTCCAGGTTTTCTCAGCTCCTTGGTGTATGCCTAGACCAGGGTTGCTAGCAATACAGACAACCGACCTCTCTGGAATTCTGGTTACTCCGAGTATCCAGAGTTCCTCTGAAAGGAGCAAAAGTCAGGAACCAATGGCTGAAGGAATTATGGGTACCAGAGTGGCCCCAGGGAAGAAAGAAAGGTGAAGGAAGGTCTGGAGCAATGATGACCCAATGGGTCTCAGGGGGCCATCCTCAGCCCAACAATATCCTGGCCCCTTTAGTCAGCCCTGGTGGGCAGCTGCCTGCTCTGTATGGGGCTAAGGAGACAGGAAATCTGGCTGGAGACCGTTGGCTTCACAGGAAGGAGGACCCTGGGGGCTATGGGCTCAGGACCAAGTGAACTTCCTCTGTCCCTTCAGCCTTCCCTTTCTTCTTGACTTATAGCAGGGGATGGCATCCCCACCATCTGCTCCTGGATCACAGGAACCAGAGAAAGCAGAGCTGGCTGCGGTTAGTGGTCAGCTGGATGACGCAGCCCATGGCCTACATGAGACAAGAGTGGTGCAGTGGGAGTCTTTGAGTTAATGGTTCAGGATCGTTCTGAAATGAGAGTGGGAAGTTTCTCTCTTGAGAAAGGTTGGCAAAGGGGCTGCATTCTCAGGTAGGAAGAGTACCTATGACCATGACTGTGTTTGTCCACCTGCCTGGGGCCTGGTCAGGCTGAGCGTGTGCTAACATGGCTCTCATGCCCTACTTTGGTCTAGCTACTCCTTCTGCCTTCAGCTACTTTCCTAACACTGTTGTCTCCTATGCCCAGACCACATCTTGACCAAGGAATAAAGACAGCAAGACATTTACAACATCTTCTCGGGGTGCTCCGGGATCCTGTCACCTGCTGGGCAGTGGAGCTCAGGAAACCAGAAGAGAGAAGGCCATTCTTCTGGCCATCCTCTGCCAGTGACTTGCTATGTGTGAACTTGGTTAAGTGACTTTTTGCAAATTAGGCTCTAGAATTTTATAGGTTTTTGGAAATACTTCTTAATTCTATAAGTAATATATACATATTTTTTGAGAGGTTTTTGGGCGCTTGCGCTCACCAGACAGAGAGAGACAGAGAGACAGAAAGCAAGAAATCACCCCCCCAGGGGGGATGGCCATGCCGCAATCCCTTCTCCTCCGTTCTCCTCTCAGGATCTTGGGCATGCACGCACACGCGCCCGGCGTGAGTTTTAAGCCACCGGGTCTGGGACTCGAACCGCGGTCGACTATGTGGGAGTCCAGCGACATAGCCATTATGCTAACTGCTGGTCCCTATAAGTAATATTTTTTGACTGCTGATAAATTAGAGAACACAAATAAGTAAAATAATAATAATAATAAATTGGAGTTGCTTATCATCAAGTGAGATTGTGGCTAATTTTTTTCTCTCAAGGTTTGTCATTGTATTTCACATAAATGAACAGTAGAAAGGAAAATAATTTCCCATAATCCCATTCACAAATACTCCACTTAATAATTTGATACCCTGTGTGTAGATATAATATGTATTAAACAACGATAAGAACAACGATTTTAAATATTGTTTTACAACCTACTTTTATTTATTTATTTTATTTGCCCAGAGGGTACATGCACTCACCAGAAAAAGGCAGAGAGGGAAAGGGAGGAAATACCTCCCAAGGAGGGGTGGTCACATCTCACTCCCTTCTCCTCCATTTCTCCATTCTGTCAAGATTTGGAGCATGCACATACAGGTACCTGGCTTGGTTTTCGAGTTATCAGGGCTGGGATTCGAACTGCAGTTGGCAATGTGGGATCCAGCTCCCTTAACCATTGGGTCACATGGCCAGCCCAGCCTACTTTAATTACTTACTAACTTTAGCCAGGATATTTCTCTATGTCAGTAAATTTAGGTTTACTTCATTTTTATGTCTGCATAATATTTTGTATGATTTATTAATTAATCCTCTCTCATTAGACACTTGAGTTGCTTCTGATTTTCATTCTTTTATGCTCTACCAGGATCAACAGACATGGAATTAAATCTCCAGTCACATCTTCACTTATTTCCTGAGGCAAAAAAATCTTAGAAGTAAAATTCCTGCATATTTAGGTGTACATATTTTAAGACTTTTTAATATTGAATGTCAAATGGCCTCATGAAAATTATGCCTCATCCTCCCATCAGCCACATGAGAGCACCTATTCGCCATCACTCTCATCAACCCCATTAGCGTCCCTTTATTCTTCTAAGGGAATTGTCAATTCTCAAGAAGGAAGAGATGTTTAATACAAGCCCCTTGGAGCAGAGATGAAAAAGAGGAAGCCTAAGGAAAGCAAAGC